AGCACACAAAGCCACTCTACCAACACAGGGAAGCATAAAAAATGAGGAGAGCAAAGAAACAGGACACAAATGACAAAAATGGAGGAAAGCAAACGACTGGATATAGAGTTCAAAACCACACTTATAAGGTTTTTCAAGAATTTTCTAGAAACCGCAGATAAATTTAGTAAGACCCTCAAAAAGACTGGTGAGACCGGCGATAAATGTAATGAAACCCTCAAGAAGTGTAGTGAGACCCTCGAGGTTATGAAAAAGGACCAACTAGAAATTAAGCATACACTGACTGAAATAAAGGATATCATGCAGAGTTCCAACAGCAGACTAGAGGATCGCAAGAATCAAGTCAAAGATTTGAAATACGAAGAAGCAAAAATCACCCAACAGGAAAAGCAAAAAGAAACCAAAAATATGAAGATAGTGTAAGGAGCCTCTGGGACAGCTTCAAGCGTACCAACATCAGAATTATAGGGGTGCCAGAAGAAGAGTGAGAGCAAGATATTGAAAACCTATTTGAAGAAATAATGACAGAAAATTTCCCCTACCTGGTGAAAGAAATAAACTTACAAGTCCAGGAAGCACAGAGAACCCCAAACAAAAGGAATCCAAAGAGGACCACACCAAGACACATCATAATTAAAATGCCAAGAGCAAAAGACAAAGAGAGAATCTTAAAAGCAGCAAGAGAAAGACAGTCAGTTACCTACAAGGGAGTACCCATACAACTGTCAGCTGATTTCTCAACAGAAACTTTGTAGGCAAGAAGGGAGTGGCAAGAAATATTCAAAGTGATGAATACCAAGAACCTACAACCAAGATTACTTTATCCAGCAAAGCTATCATTCAGAATTGAAGGTCAGATAAAGAGCTTCACAGATAAGGAAAAGCTAAAGGAGTTCATCACCACCAAACCAGGATTATATGAAATGCTGAAAGGTATCTTTTAAGAAGAGGAAGAAGAAGAAAAAGGTAAAGATACAAATTATGAACAACAAATACACATCTATCAACAAGTGAATCTAAAAATCAAGTGAATAAATAATCTGTTGAACAGAATAAACTGGTGAATATAATAGAATCAGGGGCATAGAAAGGGAGTGGACTGACTATTCTTGTGGGGGAAAGGGGTGTGGGAGATGCGGGAAGAGACTGGACAAAAATCGTACACCTATGGATGAGGACAGTGGGGGTGGTGAGGGCGGAGGGTAGGGTGGGAATTGGGTGGAGGGGAGCTATGGGGAGAAAAAAGAGGAACAACTGTAATAATCTGAACAATAAAGATTTAATTTTAAAAAATTTAAAAAAATACCATCTTGAACTTAATATTTTACTTATTTAGTAATACAACTAAAGAAGCCACATTGTACCCTATTCCCTTCCAACTGCCTCCTCAGCAATACTCAAAAAACCTCCATTTTACTGGTACAAAACAATACTTCCTATACTGAGGATCCTGCAAGGTCAGATTGAACCCCAACAACTTATCGAAGTATTTATAAGAAACAAAAATGATCCCTGGCAGGTGTGGCTCAGTTGGTTGAGTGTACTCTGTGCACAAAAAGGCTACAGGTTCAATTCCCAGTCAAGGCACATGCCCGGGTTGAGGGCTCAATTGTGCAGGAGGCAGCCAATTGGTGTTTCTCTCTCTCTCTCTCTCTCTCTCTCTCTCTCTCTCTCTCTCTCTCTCTCCCCCGATATCCCTCTCCATTCCTCTCTCTATAAAGTCAATAAATGGAAGGCAGGGGTGGGTAGGTGGGTGGGAAGAGATCAATCTAAGAACTTGTATGCATATATGCATAACCCATGGGCACAGACAATAGGGAGGTGAAGGCCTGGGCCGGGGAGCAGGGGTGGGCTAGAAGGGGTCAATGGGAGAAAAAGGGGACATAGGAAATACTTTCAACAATAAAGATTAAAAAATAATAACATGTCATCAAGGAAAATATAAAATAAAATCAATAAAAGCATATATTTTTAAATAAAAACACATTTTCTTCTTAATGGGAATTCTTGTGAACAAAATTTCCCAATCTTATCCTTTTTTTGTGTGTGAGAGATTTAAAGGCTTTATCTTAGAGTGATATATTTCATGAGAAAAAGTTATGTTCTTCAACTGGCTCCAGTTGCTATTATATGTTGGGACTTGATCTACTTTTAGACTCTTTATAATTCAAAAAATGTTTAGAGTTGATGCTAGACATGAGGCCTGGGGTAGGGATGAGGAGCAAGGTAAAAAGGCATAAAGAAGAATAGATATTGTAAAAGTATTTACAAGAAGAATTTAACTTAGTTTATAGTAAACAAAGGAGCAGAGAAAGCACAGGTGGGAAACCCTATGGAGGGTGCAGCCCATCTTCCCTGCCCACTGGCACCTCAGAGGCCTCAGGCACCTGCAAACACTCTTGGGCCCTGGGTCCATGCTGACCTCCTTGGTGAGGTTAACAATCAGACACCTAAGGAACACAGTTCCCAGTGATGACGCTAGATTCAACATAAAGCAATCTCCTAAATGAATAAGTTTGTTTGAAATATGAGTCTGGAGAAGTATGAATATTATGGCTTCTATACAGTAGACTCGTCTTTTCTAAATGAAAATATTTAAAAATTTGAAATGACAGTATCTACATGTCATTGTATAATATCTGAAATATATACACTATCTAATGTCTGAAATATAAAATTATAAAACTATTGTTTCTCATTTCCCCCGGCCTTCCTCCATGAGCATTCATTGATATGATACTCTGTGATAAACTCTGTGCTAAGATGTGAGGATACAGAGACAAAGATAGCTCTGGCCTTCAGAAGCTCAGAATCCAGGAAGGATGCAGACATGTAAACAGATATAATAAAAACTGACCACAATGTTCTAAGAGAGAAGTAAATAGTCTCATGAAAGCATACAGTCCAGGCTACAGTAGGAAGGTCAGTGGATCCTTTCTCGAACAAGGGCGTCTGAGCCTGTTTGGAAGGGTGGTTAGCTGGCTACGGAAGCAGGAAGGAAAGGATATTCCAAGTAGACGCAACACTAGATGCCAAAGCATCAAGAGCACGTGATCTTTCCAAGGATGTGCACATTTCTGAGCACGGCTGGAGCAGTGTGGCTTTCGTGTGCAAGGAGAGATGGCAGTGGGACAACAGGGTGGGTGAGGTGGGCTGAGAATCCATTATTAAAATCTTTGAGCCCTAGCTGGTTTGACTCAGTGGATAAAGCATCAGCCTGTGGACTGAAGGGTCCTAGGTTCGATTCTGGTCAAGGGCACATGCCCGTGTTGTGGCTCCATCCCCAGTAGGGGTTGTGCTGGAGGCAGCCGATCAAGGATTCTCTCTCATCCTTGGTGTTTCTATCTCTCTCTCCCTCTCCCTTCCTCTCTGAAGTCAATAAAAATAAACAAATTTAAAAATTTAAAACCTTTGTTCCCTGAGGCAGTGAGGAGGGGCATGGGCAGAGTGGTATTTAATGAGGTCACTATGGTAGTGGCAACCGTATGGATAATGGAGGAGGGAATTGCAATGAGAGACTGGACACCAAGAGCCTAATTTGGGGACGTAGAGTAATCCAGAGGAGGAGAACATCAGAATTATTTAAGTCAGGGGCAAGCTCACACACACAGGACAAGCATCTCATGACAATCTCCTGAGGGGCGAAAAGGCAGCGAGAGAGAGGAGCTGCCCACAGCATACCCTCAGATGCCCCCCATCCCTCTGTGTTCCAGCAGGACCACAAGGCGTTCCACAAGACCCAGAGTAGCTGCGGTTCTACTCTTTGCCTATGTGGATACATGGGAAGTCATCAGAGTGCCATGAAGGAGCCATTTCCTTACAGGCAGTGGCAGTGGGTTTAGAAATGAAGCAGTAAAGAGTTGAGGAGATTATTAAAATAATAGAACAAACAGGTTGGTGGCTAAATGGTATGTCAAGAATGATGCTTCCTGAAGCAACTGAGTAGATGATGAACTATTCACAGAGATAAATGGTGTGTGTGCTACAGAAGAGGATAAGGTTGGAGGTGAGGGGTGAAGGAACGGTGAGATGATATGACTTAAGAGTTGACGTGAGGTGGACTCTTGGGACATCCGAAGAGCAATGACAGTAGGCAATTGGATATGTGATCTTGGGAGCCCCTAGACAGGTCTGGCCATTTTTTACCATCACATCCAGCCTATAGGGAACTATGGGGAAGTCCAGGATTCAGGTAGTCATTAAGACCAGAAGAAAAAACTCAGATCAAACAGGAGAGTGTACAGGTAAGATAAGAGGAAGGCATTTATAGTATCAAAAAAATACATTTTTTGAGAATAAATGCTCTCAAACAAGAATCATACAAACTAGAATCACTAGACTCCCTACAGGCGAGTATCTTGAAGAGCTCCATTCATTTTCTTCCTGTAGCTGGTTGGCTTTGAATTGTTTACAAAGATCAGGTTTATAAAAGAAAATTGGTCACTATGGAAACAGGCTATTCAGTATCAAACAGACAGTGTCACCAGGAAAGGGTAATTACTTTAGTTTTTCCACTAATTGTATGTTTTCATGGTTTTCAATAATCATGTATCTTTTTGGTCAGAAATATTCCATCAGTTAATGACTTGGTGAGCAAGAGAAAAAATGCTAGTCTATAGCTATTTCCCTAGGTTGCTTACTCTATGGGCACACCAGAAACGATATTTTATGAATTTCATACTCCATATTATCAGTGGGTGCAATTCATCCAATTCCTATAGCCAGCCTAAATCTAAATGAACAGTCACAAGGAAAGTGTCTCCATTTTTTTTATTCATGGTTGAATCCCTTTTGTTGAAAACACATTAATTTCATGTTACTTGTCCGTCATTATTCTAGGCTACAGTTAAAATGTAAAGATGCATCAAAAGTAAAAATAGAATTTTAAAAAATATGTCACCAAAATGCTAAACAAAATTCATGCAAATTCTTAAAATGTAAATCTTACCTGTTTTACGCTAAGGGTACACTGATGTTTAAACAAGTGTCGCTGCACTGACCTTATTCAAAAAAGTTTGTATGATGGCTTCCTGGTTGGCCAGGTAAGCGATTTGTCTGTACCTCCCAATGGAAGCAATGATCTGGGTCTCTTTTTCCAGAAGTTCGCACAAAGCAACTTTCCTCTCAGCGCCACAGAAAGTCTGGTTAATGCATTCCAGTTGTTCTTGTCGCCAGACTAGAGGAATAACATGAGAGACTCCTGAGGTTTTAAAATCCCACAGCTTTTTACCACCACGTCCTGACAAGTAGTATTTTATTTCTGTCTCAATTTCAATAAAATTATACATGAATGGAATCACTCATAACGTATATCTGACATATGAAAAAGTAGGACGAAAAAGAAGCTGAGAGGCTTAAAGCAATAAAAGTGGTCAAACAGACAGAAGCCAGAGGAAATCCATACCGAGAATGTCACCGTAAGCCCGTAGGTAAGCTTGCTCGCGGGTTCCTGCCGCAGCAGCAGGCCTGTCTTCATCCATGCACGGTTACCTAACTTCAGCTTCGCTCGAGATACCCTCCCCCCGAACACATCAGATACGCTAATGCTCTGTCCCCAGCCTTTTCTTCCAGACACCTCAGGCTCTTCTCTCCTAACCCACACAGGAAGTGTGGTTTCGAGGTATAGCTAGATCTTGCCTTAATGTTCTTTCTATTCTAATGGCTGCCCTAAAAAAATCATTTTTGTAACTTTGTCATTTACTTCATCACCTGTTTTCCTCCCAGCCCCTACTCCCCTCTTTGTAATTAAACAAGCCATATAAATGACAGCTGCTGACTCTGTGCCAGACTGTCCCAAATGCTTCCGTGAACTCATTTACTCTCCTGACAAACCAATGCTTAGGTGCTACTAGCATCCCCTAGTTTATAGAAAAGGAAACAGGAAAAGAGAGACTGTGGGGCTTACCCAAGGAGCTGGGACTCGAACATTGACAGTCTGGCTCCATGGTCCACGCCTTGCCTGCTCTCTGCCTCTTAGAAGCATGCCATCCTTTCAACTGTACAGTCCTTCTCCATGAGAACTGACTCGTTGGTTTACTCCAGAGACCCACCTTGACTTAAGTAGCCATCTAATCCTTTCCTCTGACATAAAGGTAATGTATTATTACACTGTCAGGATGAAGTTTCAAACTCCCATGAATTACTGTGGACAAAGAACCAAACTTTTTCTTTTCTGAACTTTAAATAACCTAGTTCACTTACATGGTTAGAACGCCTGCCAAAATTCTTCATTGCCAGTTCGAAATACTCAACAGCCATTTTTAAATTAAATTTAATTTAATTTAGTTTAATTTTTTCATCACCATTTATCCCCTCTATGCCCTTTTCCACCTCCACCCACCACCTCCCCCGCTGCAATCACCAGTGCACACTGCTGTCCATGCCCATGAGTCCTCTCTTTTATTGCTTTTTAGAGAGAGGAAAGCGAGAGGGAGAGAGAGAGAGAGAAACATTGATCAGTTGCCTTGAACATGCAATCAACAGGGGACTGAACCCACAGCCTGGGCATGTGCTTCAACCAGGGATCAAACCAGCAACTTTTTGGTGCACAGGATGATGCTCAACCAACTGAGCCACCCTGGGCAGGGCTCCACAGCCATCTTTGAGCAATTATTATGTGAAAAGAACTCTCTAAGGCTGGATGATGCATACAAAAGTGAGAAAGGCATGCATACGCCATTTTGAAGGGACTAACGGTGTCCTTGCCTCTCCCCAGTTGGGTAGACTGTAAAATCCTCCCATCAGGACAGAATTTCTGCTTCTCCTTCTATTTCTCTTTACCCAAAGCCTGCCATTTTGTACCATGAGGCTTAAAGACTTCCTTTGGGTGCAGCTCTTCCTTTTTTAATTTATTTTTTTCATCATCATTTATCCCCTCTATGCCCTTTTCCACCTCCACCGCCTCCCCCATCACCCCCCACAATCACCAGGGCACACTGTTGTCCATGCCCATGAGTTCGCTCTTTTATTTTTTGCTTAATCCCTCAGCACCCCCCAACATCACCCCATCGAGGGGTACATTTCTTGACATATAAGAGTATTTTCCCTATCATCTCTTAGTTATGATTTAATCAAGTAAAATATACTCTTCCTTTGTTATATTCCAAACATGGGTACTTTCTCATCATGTTACAGAGATATTGCAAAATCTATTACATTTATATATAATTTATATAATTAGAAATTATAGTTTTCTTCTATTAAAATGTCAGGTTACTTTAACACCCATCTCTGCACTGAAAGGTGAATATCTGAAGCCATAGTGTTGTTTCTGGCCCTCATCTATTATAACCAATGCCTTTCATGATTTCATGGCATCTAGTTTTACAGTTTTATCAGACCATTTCCTCTCCCTCTTAAATTTCGATCTGAAATGACCCTGATCAGGTGAATAACTTGCCAGTTATGTTCTTTATAAGAATCTACTTGACCAGTGTGGCTCAGTTGGCTGGGCTTCGTCCAATGCGCTGAAAGGCTGCCAGTTCGGTTTCCGGTCAAGGCACCTGCCCAGGTTGCAGGATTGATCCCCGATGGGGGGGGGGGGGGGGGGGCATGCAGAAGGCAACCAAATGATGTTACACTCTCACATTAATGTTTCTCTCTCTCTCCCTCTCCCTTCCTCTCTCTCTAAAAATCAATAAAAAAATCTTTTAAAAAATAATCTACTCTGTACTTGTAGACACTGTATGGCTTGGTTTGTCCAATAAGAGGATTTGGATCGAGAGAAACCAAGATGGCGGCATAGGTTAACGCCGGAGATTGCTGCCTCGAACAACCACTTCAGAGATATAACTAAAGGACAGAACAGACATCATCCAGAACCACAGGAAGGCTGGCTGAGTGGAAATTCTACAACTAGGAGGAAAGAGAATATCATACCCAGACTCAGAGGAGGCGCAGTGCTGAAGTGAAATACTCAGGTACGGAGTGCGCGCGGAGCGGGCTGGCGGCGGAGGGCGCGGTTGTTGTTTTCAATCGGGAGGGAGTTTCAGACTCTGAGCTCCAGATCCAGGCGAGTCTCTAGGGACCCAGACTCAAACGGGAGAAGCGGGACTGTCTGGCTTCGGTCAGAACTCGAAGGCAGCTTTCTCTCCGAGGTTTGCAGCAGTTGCTGGGACTCTGAGAGGCAGAGCCCCTAGGGACGGGACTGAGAGCAGCCATAACTGCTCGCTCCGGCCCACCCTGTAGATCCCCGGGGACCCGCCCCGCTCAAGCCCTGCGCAGCGCCATTTGCCGGATAGCCTTAGGCAAAGGCTAGATTAGCACCACCCTAGAGATCCAGCACAGAAGCTCTCCCATTGCAGACACAGCTGACTCTCATAGTCAGTTAGTCTGGAGGTCAAATTACCCCTGGTATTACCGACAACAATCAAGGCTTAACTACAAGACTGCGCACAAAGACCACTAGGGGGTGCACCAAGAAAAGATAAAAAAATGTGGAGACAAAGAAACAGGACGCAAATGTCAGAAATGGAAGATATAGAGCTCAAAACCACACTTTTAAGGTCTCTCAAGAACTGTCTAGAAGCTGCCGATAAACTTAGTAAGGCCCTCGAAAAGACTGGTGAGACCGCCGATAAATGTAGTGAGATCCTCAAGAAATCTAATGAGACCCTCGATGTTATGATAAAGAACCAACTAGAAATTAAGCATACACTGACTGAAATAAAGAATATTATACAGACACCCAACAGCAGACCAGAGGAGCACAAGAATCAACTCAAAGATTCAAAACACAAAGAAGCAAAAAACACCCAACTGGAAAAGCAAAATGAAAAAAGAATCCGAAAATACGAAGATAGTGTAAGGAGCCTCTGGGACAGCTTCAAGCGTACCAACATCAGAATTATAGGGGTGCCAGAAGATGAGAGAGAGCAAGATATTGAAAACCTATTTGAAGAAATAATGACAGAAAACTTCCCCCACCTGGTGAAAGAAATAGACTTACAGGTCCAGGAAGTGCAGAGAACCCCAAACAAAAGGAATCCAAAGAGGACCACACCAAGACACATCATCATTAAAATGCCAAGAGCAAAAGACAAAGAGAGAATCTTAAAAGCAGCAAGAGAAAGAAACCCAGTTACCTACAAGGGAATACCCATACGACTGTCAGCTGATTTCTCAACAGAAACTTTGCAGGCCAGAAGGGAGTGGCAAGAAATATTCAAAGTGATGAATACCAACAACCTACAACCAAGATTACTTTATCCAGCAAAGCTATCATTCAGAATTGAAGGTCAGATAAAGAGCTTCACAGATAAGGAAAAGCTAAAGGAGTTCATCACCACCAAACCAGTATTATATGAAATGCTGAAAGGTATTCTTTAAGAAGAGGAAGAAGAAGAAAAAGGTAAAGATACAAATTATGAACAACAAACATGCATCTATCAACAAGTGAATCGAAGAATCAAGTGAACAAATAATCTGGTGATCATAATAGAATCAGGGACATAGAAAGGGAATGGACTGACTATTCTTGGTGGGGAAAGGGGTGTGGGAGATGCGGTAAGAGACTGGACAAAAATCGTGCACCTATGGAAGAGGACAGTGGGTGGGGAGTGAGGGCGGAGGGTGGGGCGGGAACTGGGAGGAGGGGAGTTATGGGGGGAAAAAAGAGGAACAAATGTAATAATCTGAACAATAAAGATTTAATTAAAAAAAAAAGAGGATTTGTAAATTTAAGAGTTAAATTGTATTAAGAAAGTCCAGGAAATCTATGACTGATGAGTTTATCAGTTAAGAGTGATAACCAAAAAGAACTTTTAAAAATTGAACAAACTCCATATACCAAAAGGTAGTATATGATTGAAGAGAAAAACTGAAAAATTATTTGCTTATGGAAATAATAACTGAGAATATTTATCTCATGGTATTACCTAGATGTTCCCAGAAAGCAAATAAAAACTGAGAGGTATTGGTAAGCCTATTTTACTTCCTAGTTTTACATTAGAAACCTTTCAGTAATAAATTTAGGCCACTGGAGCATTATGTAGGGTATTCTGCTAACCTCAAGAAGCAAAATACTGCTCGCCTAGATTAATATTTAAGTCCTAGGTAAATATGGATATATATATACACATGTGCTTTCAAGTACATGTATTCATATTACTCAGTTTTTATATTTTGCTTAAATTATTATGACTTTTAAAAAGAAACCCACCCAATGAAGCTAATTAGAAATGAAAATATGGGCCTTAATTTCAATAAAATTTTCCAATAGATGAACCACCTCCCTGTAAATCTGTTTTAAGGGATAGAATATGGCATCAGAAACATACCATGTCCCAACTACTTATAAGAAGTAGAAAAATACAGGAATCAGGAACAGCTGGACAAAACTAATTTTACATCTCATTTGACTGTTTCCAAAACTATAAATAGAAGCCATTGAGGAGAACAAGAGAGATTCTTCCTCTCCTTCATAACATTTATGCTCCCTAGGGATGATTTAAAGAATGGAATAATATATTAGTTTGCTTGGGCAGCCTTAAGAAAGTACCACAGAATGGGTGACTTAAACAACAGAAGTTAATTTCCTCTCAGCTCTGGAGGCTAGAAGTTCAAGAGCAAGGTGGAGACAGGGCTAGTTTACTCTGAGGGCCTCTCTCCTAGGCTTGTAGAAGGCCGTCTTCCTCTGGTGTCTTTATATGATCTTCTCTCTGTGTCTGCCTGTTTCCTAATCTCTTCTTCTTATAAGAGCACTGGTCAAATTGCCTTACGTCCCATTCATAGGACCTCACTCCTTCTTAATTACTCCTTTAAAGGCCCTTTCTCTAAATTCAGTCACATTCTCAGATACTGGGGATTAGGAATTCAACATATGAATTTTAGGGGAAACACAATTCAGCCTATAACAAATATCAAAAACCCTCAATATTTTGAAAGAAAATGATATTAAACAAGTTGGTTCATTTGAAAGAATACATTTATCTCCTTAACTTATCTTCTTTGACAAATGACCTAATTTCCAGAGTTTGAAGTTCAACCATGAAATGAAAGTATAAGAGTAGTATCTAAAGTCCACACACATTCTAAACTTTCTGAGACCTAAATTACAATTTTCAAATAAAAAATAACAGGACATACAATCTTTATCCATCACTGGCAACTAATGTGCATCTTCTTTTTAAAATTCTCATCACAAAATCAATCAATCAGTCAATAAGTAAATAAATAAAATTCCCCTCACAGACTGGAAGCCTGAATGGGGAGAATCTAGAAAGATTCAGACTGAAAGCCCAGGGCCAGATATGTAAATGGACTGAGCCCACTGACTCTTCAAAAGCCAGAACGAGGTACCTTGACCAAGAGGTAATAGTTAGAGTCAAAAGACTCAGTCAAAACAAAGCAAAGGGTTAGAAGATTCAATTCAATACATATTTACTAGCTGTACTGAGCAAGGTCCTATCAGATGCCATAGGTGCAAAGGTGAATAGTAAAAAGAGAGTGGTGTGCACAGAGAATAACGGGGCAGGAAAAGAGGTTGTGAGCTCTATCCAGGCTGTCGGGAGAGGTTTCTAAAGATGCTGACGCCTACGCTGAGTCTGAGGTAAGAGTAACAATTGAGATCAGTGGAAAATTAAATAAATAAAGAAGTAAGTATTCATTTTTATTACTGAGGGACAGATTATCTGGAGGAAAAGTTAAAACTTTGTATTAGGCGTTCTAATTCAAATGTTATTGCCACTATGAGCCACAAGAGGGCAGCAGTTCCAAATACGTACAGGAGTTAAGACTATAGACTGAAAACTAAATTATTAAGTAGAAGAGCGGTATAAATTATTGAGCTTGTGAACCAGAAATTTTAACTACAACAAAAAATACTTTAAAATTATTATTCTGAGAGCTTAAATTTAGAATTTTAGGGCTAGAAAAAGACTGAGGGATGTCTCTTTCATGCAAATTTCATTTGCTTCCATATAAAACATGTGTAAACGTAAAATGTATTTGTTCTACTCTAATATGAAAAAATCTGTATAAAATTATTTACCACATAACAGTAACTTAAACATGCATAGAACTTTGTACTTTTTTAAAGTAGTTCCATAAATATAATATTTTATATTTTCTACTTTATAAAGTGAAGTAGATGAGTCAGAAATTATTAAGTTATTGTACTGATGAAGAAGCTGAGGCTTAATTCCACTAGTGTAAGTTAATTCCACTAGTAAGTAGAAAAAGTAGAACCTCATTTAGCATATTTCCTATTATTTTGCACAGTTACCTGTTAACCAAACAAAATAACAATGGTATTTGGTTTATTCACACAGGAATTTGGCGTGTTGTTTGAATAGAGTTCTGCTCTAACAGAACTTTAGTTTTATAATTATCAGTAAGAGCTTTCACAGACAGCTTGTTAACAGTGCTCTGTTTAACTACTAACACTTAGAAATAACCTTTGTTTTCATCTGATAGAGCAAATGGAAATAGAAGCAAAATTTAAAGTAAAAAAGAAAGTATTTGCACAGGTCAACACTGAGGAGACAGGGGATGCAGATGTAGAAATCTAGGGAGCAAGCTTAACTGTTCCACTCGCCACATCCCTACAGACACTTAGTGTTGCATGTGAGGCGCATTTATTAATATTGCTCGTTGGACCTAGTGTTGAATTGTATCGTCTTGAGTAAGTAGTGTCTTGTCACACAGCTCTGTAAGTAGACACCTAAAATTATATTCAATTAGAGCGGAAACAGTGACTTGAGTAATAGAACACATAATAATATCCACAAATAGTATATAAATAAAGTTATAGTAAAACACATTTGCTAAAAGTTAATATTATGAATTATCATAGAAATCATATTGTTATTTCTTTGGATTAAACAAAAAACCTGCTCAACCAAAAAAATAATAATAATTGAGGCCATTTTTAATTTCTAAAATTCTTCTATGATCACAAGCGCCCAACTTCCCCACTTTCTGGCATCTAAGATAATAGAAAAACTCTCTGTCCCAGTTACTTCCGCTTCCGCAGGTATTCCTAGGAAAGCAGAAGCTAGAAAGGATGACATTACTACATGCCTGTTTCCCTTTCATTCCTGTATGCATTCATTCCACCAATATTTGTTGGGACGCGAGCTAAACACAGAAAAACAGAGATAATTTTTTTTAAAAAAAAAAATCAGTTATTCTCTCCTGAAGCTTACAACTCAGTGGTGAAAATTAATGTTAAATAAAAGATGTATTACTACAAATTATGATGATATGAGTGAAAAGTTCAGAGTGCAATGAGAACATGAGATGCAATAGGATCTCAGTCAAAAAAGGCTTGGAGTGGATGGCATTTAAGCTGAGAGATGAGACAGGCTTCAAGAAGAACAGTGCACCCACTGCTCGTTCGAGTAACCGAAGCTTCTAATTGTGCCAGTGACTAGCATACATTGAATGAAAGAAATGCAGCAAAAAGTCAAATGTGTAGAAAACACATGCTTACATATTATCATTGATGGGAGGGAATTAAAATATATTGCCACGCCCCTCGTCTAAAGGGCCGAATCAGAGACAGGACGCTGAACTAAGAAATTGGAGAAAGCCCTAGCTGGTTTGGCTCAGTGGATAGAGCATCAGCCTGCAGACTGAAGGGTTCTGGTCAGGGGCACATGCCTGGCTTGCGGGCTTGATCCCCTGTAGGGGTGTGCAGGAGGCAGCCAATCGATGATTCTCTCTCATCACTGATGCTTCTAATTCTCTCTCTCTCTCTCTCTCTGGAATTAATACAATATGTATTTAAAAAAATTGGAGAAGTTCAACTCTGAATTCAAAAATTCCCAAGACCGTCAAAGAACCATATTGGACAATACTTTCTTTATAACACAGGGTTGAGGATCAAATGAGATAATATACTAAAACTACATAATTTACCCGTTGTTACTAGAAAAGCATTTCCAATTTCATTTCCCCCTTAATTCCTGTACCAAATGTAAAACACTATTCATCATTTTAAATTATCTAGTCCAGATTCCCAAGACATTTTTCCTAAGATAATAAAGTCTTCCTTTTGTCTTTAGTAGACCTGTTTTTCCTACTAATGAAAAATTTTAAAATTAATATTTTATGCAAAGCCTATTTTAAACTTACGTTCTAGCGCATTATAAAGAAGTTCAAAATCTTCTTTTGTTTTAGGATTATGCCTCCGGAGATAGTCCATTTTCATCCATTCTTCTTTTTCTCTTATCTTTCTTAGTTCTTCCTCTTCTTTCCACTTCAACTTTAACATTTTTTGTCTTCTTAAATTATCAACAAAGACTTTAGCATGCCATTTTCGATAGTACGTCTGTAACACTATTACCTGTAGTTAAAAGGAAATAAAAGTATCTACCATCAACTTTATGAATCAATAACAACAGGCAACAATGATTATTTTTATTCCAATTCAGTAAATACTAAAACACTCTGAGTCTAGTTTTAGTTCTGTGACAGGTACTCTCACATATATTATAACACAGAAAATGCACATCAGTTATTTGACTTTGAAATCTAGCAAACACATCTTCATGGGAGGCAGATAGTACAATACTTAAGAGCACAGGCTCTACAGAAAAACTTAATTTAAATCTTCCCTCTGCTACTCACTAGCTGTTCGGTTTTGGGTAAGCTACTTGCCATCTCTGTGCTTTGGTGCCCTTATCTATAAAACAAGTGATAATAGCAGTATGCATCTAAAGTGCTTAGTTAGCTTAAACCTGGTGTATCTCAAATTGTCAATAAATACTATTATTGTCATATTTAATTATCTCTATTATTATTGAATAGCAATTATCTCTAGTTCATCATTTTGTCCTTAGCATTAGCTTATATTTAAAACAAAATTGAAGACCATAACTCTTTCTCATGAAGTATATCACTCTAAGATAAGGTCTTTAAATCTCATTTTTTTTAAAAAGATAAAATCAGGAAATTTTGTTCACAAGAATTCCAATTAGGAAGAAAATTTGTGTTTCCTAAACATATAGCAGGTAGATTATGTGGTGGAAATCACCAAAGGCAGGTTAGATAAAAGAGAATTTAAGCAAGCAGGTATCTATTAAATTGTGAGAAATATAAATATGTCTGAGGGTCCACTATAATAAATACGTCTGAGGGTCCACTGGATCCGCAAAATACTTGCAATATAGTTGAGAGTTTCCATTTTTACTTACTAGACTCATTAATAAAAATAAAATGTGGAGAGGCTGGATCAAGATTGAAGACAGAAATATGTTGATACATGCCTATCCCTCCTTCTAGTCCCAGATAATTAGAGATGATTATATAAGCAGAAATAAGAAAAGACACTGGACCATGTTGAAGGAGTCCTCCAAAGGAAGAGAAACTTTAAAGAATCCCCTCAAGAAAGGGAATGGGTGATACTTTAAGCAATAAAAGAAAATTTAAAAAAAAGAAGAAGAAGAAAGGGAATGTGTGGAATCGCTGCAGGAGGAGTCTAATCATACACTGGACAGGCAAGTCACAAAATACAGAAGCGACTCTAAGACTGCTTCAAGCCCCAAATTGCTGGGTCACGTGAGCGGAAGAATCCCAGGGCAACTAACTAGGTGACTGCTTGAAAAATGTGAGAGAGAAAGGATCCTCTAAGTCTAAGACAATTAGTTAAAGAGAACAGAGCCCTCGCTGGTTTGGCTCCGTGGACAGAGCGTCAGCCTGAGAACTGAAGAGTCTCAGTTTTAATTCCGGTCCAGGGCGCCTGCCCTGGTTGCAGGCTCGACCCTAGTAGGGGGCTTGCAGGAGGCAGCCGATGGATGATTCTCTCATCATTGATATTTCTATTTCTCTTTTCCTCTCCCTTCCTCTCTGAAATCAATAAAAATATATTTTAAAAAAGCAACCGAGGTATTTGCCTCTGGGCAAGAGGAGTCAGTGGCCCAGAAGGCTCGTGGCACCAGGATGAATAGAAGCCCCCTCTCAGAAAACTAGCTCTCTCCCAGAATCAAGCCTGGCCCATCCCCTAAAGCCACTGGGTAAGGCTGTAGTATACAAATTATGTTGTAACACAACAGACTTCAGAAATCTCAAATACTCTGAGGACACACCCAAGAAAAACAAAACATTTAAGACAAGCCAACAAAATAAAAAGTGCCTCATTCAACAAAGAAGAATTTACATTTGTATGACACAATGACTAAAACAGAGGGTCTCAAAGCCTGTGGGCTAGACCCATAGCAACAGCAGCATCTGGAACTAAATTCACAGGCTTCAGTACAAGGGCTGGAGGAGCAGGGGCCAAGGCATGAAAGAGCTGGCAGACTCCGTCATTTCTTTGTTGAACTTTACCCCAGCCAGCCAGCTGGTGCAGTTGCCAAGCTGGAGATCTCCATTAAGTTGGCTAACACTGTTCACCGCCCTGGTGATTCCCTGAGAACCCACCACACCACACTCCCACCACCCACCAACTTCTCCCAGCAGATCCTTCGCACAGGCAGTCTTCCCCAGGTTGTGCTGCTCACTTTCCCACAGTCTCTCAGAGGTCCTCAAGCCCCAAGCCAGCAGCAGCTGGCATTGGCATTCCCTGTACCTCTTGCGAAGGACCCCCACGCCCAGGTCTAAGGGCAGCCAGACTCAGTTTGCAGCCTCGCCTCTTCCAGGCACCTCTAAACTCACAGGCAACAATCAATTGCAAAAGACAAAGGATGGTTGACTGGACAAGAAAATCCAGACCCATATATATGCTGCCTACAAGAGACCCACTTCAAATAGAGTCACAAACTGAAAGTAAAGGGATGAAAAACGACATATCATGCAAATAAATGGAGGGGGGAAGCTGTGTGGGGAATACTTATATCAGGCAAAACAGACCTTAAAACAAAGACTGTAAGAAGAGATAAAAAAAGAGGGCATTTCATAATGATGAAGGGATCAACCTAACAAAAGGACAGAACTCTTGTAAATACCTACACAACCAATGTGGGAGCACCTATATATAAAAAGCAAATACTGATCAACAGAAAGGGAGAGATCCACAATTATACAGTCATGGTAGGTGACTTTAACAATCCATTAGCATGCTTTCACACTCTCCACATCAACATCAATGGACAGGTAATCCAGGCAGAAAATCAACAAGGAAACAGGGGCCTAACCTGACACATTAGATTAGAAAAACATAATTGATATTTTTAGGACATTTGACCAAAAACCAGTAAGTCTCAGTTCACAGTGTGGCCTCTCCCATGCGCCCCCAGGCCCAGCACAAGCAGCTACCAACCATGGATCGCTTTGTAGCAACTACCAGCTAATGCTGAGTTGGTCTCAGGCAAGGCTTGATCTTGGCCTATACTGAAGCCCCTCCCAAGAGGCCACAGAGCCAACAAATTCAGTGGCTAGCTTCAGACTACAGCAGAGCACCACCCAATTAGCTCAACAAACAGCACAACCAAAAAGTGGTCTTGGCAGGCAAAAGAGCCCATTGGGGTGCATCCCACTCTATGGATCCAGCCCCCCCACAGTAGCTTGAACACTTTGGTCATGACCAATACTCACAGCCTGAGGGTCACCCCAACTACTTATGTGCCAACAACAGTGAAGTACAACTACAACAGGAGGGCACACACAACCCATACAAAGGACAATCCTGGAGCACCCAGCTCAAGTGACCAGGGAGACAGAGCCACTGGGCTCCCAGGACATGTACGACATAAGGCCACCTGCCAATTTGGGAGACATAGCAGATATAACTAATACCTCAAAACAAACACAGAGGAAATCAAGATGAGGACACAAAGAACCATGTACAAAATGAGAGAACAAGAAAAATCCCCAGAAAAAGAACTAAATGAAATGGAGGCCAGCAATGTATTCGATATAAAGTTTAAAATAGTGATCAAAGAACTTTGTGAGAACTTCAACAAAGAAATAGTGAGCATAAAAAGGGACACAGAAACCATAAAAATGAACCAGTCAGAAACGAATACAATAACCAAAATGAAGAATACTCTAACAGCAGATTAGATGAAGTGCAGGATCAAGTCAGTGCTTTGAAAGACAAGGTAGCAGAAAACAACCAATTGAAACAGCAAAATGAAAAAAGAAAAAAAAAAGATAGGATAGTTAGAGAAACCTCTGGTATAACAGCAAGTATAACAACACTCACTTCATAGGGGCACAGAAGAAGAGAGTCAGCAAGGAATAGAAAATCTATTGAAATAATAATGACAAAAAATTTTCCTAACCTGGAAAATAAAATAGACAAGTTCATGGAGCACGTAGAGTCCCAAACAAGATGAACTCAAAAGAAGCCCATACCAAGACACATCATAATTAAAATGGCAAAGATGAAAAACAAAGAGAGAACCTTAAAAGCATCAAGAGAAAGGCAGTCAGTTATCTACAAGGGAAGCTTCCATAGACTGTTAGCTCATTTCTCAACAGAAACTTTTCAGACCAGAGGAATTGACACAAAATATTCAAAGTAATGAAAAGCAAGGACCTACAACCAAGATTTCTCTAGCCAAGAAGGCTACTAGTTAAAATTGAAGGAGCAATAAAGAGCTTCCCAGATGAGAAAAAGCTAAAGGAGTTCAGCACCAGCAAGCAGTTTTATAAGAAATGTTAAAGAGACATTTTAAAGAAGATGGGAAAAAATAAACATGAATAATAAAATGGAATTACTTATTTAAAATATAACTGCATTAAATAATACTTATAAAAAATTATAATACTTAGAACATAAAAAGAATGTACAAATTTGTATGATAATGACAGCACACAAAAAAGGAAGGACTAAATTGGAGTTCTATTGGAGCAATATTTCACTATTTTGTTGGATTTCAGTTAGTATTAATGTGAAGTATCCTATATAATAAAAGAGAAACATATAAATTGATCGGCCCCTCTGCTACACTCACTTGTCAATCAGGAGTGTGTATGCAAATTAACCCAACCCAACAAAGATGGCGGGTTAATTTGCATACACAGGTGCCCGGCGGAGAGTAGAGCGGCTTGGGGAACTTTGCTCCCCAAGCCGCCAGACGGAGAGCAGAGAGGGAGAGCTGATGGCTTGGAGACTTGGCAGAGTGGGAGGCCATGGGTCAGGGACAGAGCAGGAAGGGAAAACCAAGAGCGCAGGGAGCACCAGGAATGCTGGGAATCGTAGTTCTGGTGGCAGATAGACCTCTAGACACTAGAGCAGCGATTCTCAACCTGTGGGTCGTGATCCCTTTGGGGGTTGAACGACCCTTTCACAGGGGTCACCTAAGACCGTCGGAAAACACATATATAATTACATATTGTTTTTGTGATTAATCACTATGCTTTAATTATGTTCAATTTGTAATAATGAAATTGGGGGTCACCACAACATGAGGAACTGTATTAAAAGGTCACAGCATTAGGAAGGTTGAGAACCACTGCACTAGAGCAAAGTGAGCCTGGAGCAAGTTACTGTTGAGGTGGGGGATGGAGGGAAAGCAAAGGTGGGAGACATAAGTAAAATCAGAGTGTTTAGGAAAAATTAAAGGGAAGATATCCTAAAACTTCCAGGAAATCTCCACCAATGAAGCAAAGAAAAAAAAAAAATGCCCCTATTATTCTGTGAGCAACAAACCTGAGTTGGGGTCTCAGACAATTCACTCATATGACTGCAAAGACAGACAGAAACTTCCGGATTGGAGAGGGCTCTACTGAGAGCTCCCAGATTGGAGAGGGTGCAGGTCGGGCTGAGGGACCCCCACACCTCCCAGTGCACAAATGTCATGCACCAGGCCTCTAGTATTATTATAAATATAGATGCATATTGTAATCCCTAGATTACACTCAGAACAACCATTTAGAAAATAACTCAAAAATAATTCAAAACATAGTAAAACAATAATTTTAGAAATTTAAAAATGGGTAAAGGATTTGTGTATACATTTCTCCTAAGACTATATACAAGTTGTTAATAAGCAAATAAAAATTTATTCAGGCCAGTTAATATATACATTATATATATATATATATATATATATATATATATATATATATATTCAGCCCAGCTGGGTGTGGCTCAGCAGTTGAGTGTCGACCCAGGAACCAAGAGGTTGCCAGTTTGATTCCCATCAGGGCATATGCCTGGGTTGCAAGCTCAATCCCCAGTAGATACATGCAGGAGGCAGCCAATGATTCTCATCACTGTTTCTATCTCTCTCTCCCTCTCCCTTCCTCTCAGATAACAATAAAAATACATATTTTTAAAAAGAAAATATATCCAATATAATTAGCCATTAGGGCACACAAATCAAAAGCACAATAAAATACCACCTCACACTCTTTAGGATAGCTATAATAAAAAACAATAACAGCCGAAGCCGGTTTGGCTCAGTGGATAGAGCGTCGGCCTGGGGACTGGAAGGTCCCAGGTTCGATTCCGGTCAAGGGCATGTGCCTGGGTTGTGGGCACATCCCCAGTGGGAGATGTGCTGGAGGCAGCTGATCGATGTTTCTCTCTCATCGATGTTTCTGACTCTCTATCTTTCTCCCTTCCTCTCTGTAAAAAAATCAATAAAATATATTTAAAAAAATAATAATAATAACAAATGTTGATAAGAATGTAGAGAAATTGGAATCCTCATATACTGCTGGGGGGACATAAAATGGTACAGTGCTTTGGAAAACAATTTGGCAGTTCCTCAAAAGTTTATAGGTAGACTTACCATATGATCCAGCAATTACACTCCTGGGCATATACACAAGAGAAATAAAAACTTATGTCCATATAAAAAAAAATTGTACATGAATTTTATATCAGTTTTATTTCTAATAGCCAATAAGTAGAAACAGCCCAAATGTCCATCAACTGATAAGTGGACAAATGAAACATGGTATGTACATTTGCATATATGTAATAGATATATACATTTGGGTATATATAATATTATCCTGCAATATAAAGAAATGAAGGATTAATACATGTTACAATATGAATGAGCCTTAAAAACATTATTCTAAGTTAAAATACTCAGTCACAAAGACTACATACTGTATGATTGCATGTATATGAAATGTCCAGAATAGGCAAATCAACAGAGACAGAAAGTAGATTAGTGGCTGCCTGAGGCAGAAAGGATTGGAGGAAAATAGGATGGCTATTAGGTGGAGAACTTCTTTCTGGGATGATGGGAATGTTCTAAAATTGATTGTCATAATGGTTGAATAACTCTGTTTATATAGAAAAATCTTTTAACTGTATACTTTTTTGAAAAGAGATACTAAAAATTTTATACTTAAAGACTAGAGGCCCAGGGCAAAAAATTGTGCACAAGTGGGGTCCCTACGCCTGGCCGGCAATCAGGGCCTATTTGGGCCATCTCACCCAGTCCTGATTGGGGCCGGGCTCGCCAGAGGCTGCCGGCTGCCGGACAGGGCCTGCCAGATGGGGCCTGCCGGATGGGAGGAAGGACTGCGGACTGCAGGAGGTTTGCCAGCCAGGGCAAGAGACTGGGGGAGGTTGGTTGTGGGAGCGCACTGACCACTAGGGGGCAGCTACTGTGTTGAGCATCTGCCCCCTGGTGGTCAGTGCATGTCATAGGGACTGGTCAACCAGTTGTTCCTGTCATTCTGGCTGTTCAGTCACACCAGTCACTTAGGCTTTTATATATATATATAGATATTAATTATATAAATAAAAAAACTAGAAAATAATAAAAATGGCACACTAGAAAATATTTAACATAAAAGAAAATGGTAAAGGAGGAACAGAGGAACCAGAGAAACACAGGACTATAGACAACAATAGCAAAATCATGATATAATTCAACCTTATCAATAATAACATTAAATATATGTGTATTAAACACTAGTCAAAAGGCAGAGATTACTAGATTGGATAAAAAGATAAGATCCAATTATATGCTATTTACAAGATATATACTCCAGATACAAAGTCTCAATTAGGTTAGAAGTAAAAGGATGAAGAAAGTAGAGTATGCAAACATAACATAAAAGAGTTGGAGTGGCTATACTAATATCAGAGAAAACAGATTTTAATACCCTTTTGTTTTCAATTAGTCTGGAACCCTTCCTAGGTGATCCAACTGTCACAGGGATTAAGACCAAGGGATAGAGGGTAGAGAGCTCATAAATGGCCAAAGGCAACTCACAAAGGTCTGGGAATTCCCTCAGGGAAAGAGAAGGATTAGGAGTATTTAGGATTCTGGTTCCTTATACTGGGGGCAGATTAATCCCCAAAATTGCTTTTACTACCAATAAAACATGGCTCACACTGACAAAGACTCTCTCCTTGACAAATTCTAATCAGGCTCCTCTAAGCTCTTTTTCAACTATGCCTGGACATTAGGGCTTCTGTGTTCAGCTTTGCATTTTTTCAATTTTATTAATAATCCTGCTAACTCAGTTTAACCAGAATCCCCACCCTCAATATCTGATCACTCTCCATATTTGATTGGGTTCCTCATCTTCTGCCACCCCCCAGATGATGCCTACTCACTCTGGCCTGCCTTTGGCAAAAATCCTGTCAGGCTGGTTTAGCCAGAATCCCCTTTACCCCTCATGTTTTCTCATAGTAATTTTCCATCCTCTGACCCCTACCTTGTTCCTTGGCTATAAACTCCCACTTTTCCTGCTGTATTCAAAATTAAGCCTAATCTCTTCCCTCCATTGTAGTAGCCCCTTTTGAATCAAGTCTGCTCTACCATCTTTAAAAAATATTGTAATTTAGTCTTTAACCACACTCACATAGGTTCTTCCCGTGCAAGCTAGTGTGACTTAGGCAAAGACATAGATATACACAGAACAATTGACTCACATATTGAATTTTTAGTATTCACCCATAATAAAAGTTATCTTACCGCATTTAACCTTCGAGCATGGTATTCTTCTGCTGTAAAATATTTTCCTGGTGTTATCAGTTTATCAGTCATATTTGATACATACACACCAATTTTAGTCATCTGTGTGGATGTTGTATTTTTAGTTTGTTGGAGCTTTTTTCTCAGTAAAACTGTCTAAAATTAAAAGAAGATTTAAATAAATATCTACTCTCTACACATATAAATGAGTAAGAGCATATTCTCCTACACATTTAAGTTATTTATTCATTATTTTAATTGCCATATAATTCCTTAGAAGACTTTTAGAGAGGTATACAGCATAACATGTGTTTACTCTGTAGCTTCAAAAACTTATAAGGAAAAATAAAAATACTACCTGGGTATCCCTACAAAATATATTGTCTTTTTCAGGAATCTTTTTAGGTACAGTTTGTGTTCCAGCATTGTGATATTCTATTCCCGTTAGTTTATGTCTGAATCCACCAAGAAATGGTTTGTGAAAGTCAGATTTTATCATCTCAACAGCTACATGCTGGTACTGATCAATGGCTGAGGAGATAAAACCAAGACTGAATGGAAGCTCAACTACAAAATGACTCTAAAATGCTTTTATCCAAAAGACATAAAATAACTAACCAGTTTGTACTTTGACAATTATGATTTGAGAGGCATTTAATCTGTGTAATCTTTTGATTGGATACAGATCTGGAAGTGTGGAATAGATATCCACTTGTACAATATCCTGTGGCTTAACTCCATATTTTAGTAGAGTCTCATGATTTTTAAGAATATTTCCTAAAAATGAGATAAAATTATAGAAGTGTTATGACAAAGAAATGAAATATATACTCATTTGAAGGGGCTATAAACACATGTTGTTTAATTACCAAAATATTGATTGGTATTGAGTGCCAAGTATTAATGGTGTCCATCTCTTGCTATAAAGTTAATACAGAGCACTCTGCAGTGGGAAAAGTCAGGGTGGTATCCCGAGCAAGAATTCAGCATTATAAGTAAAGCTACAACTCTTAACTCATCAGAAACGCAAATACATAATAACCATGCAACTCTGTAAACATTTGAAAATTTTAAAAACCTATTCTATAATATGAGCAAAATCATACTCTAAATGATTCTGTAAAAAATGACAGTGTATTACATGTAAGCACAGGACATAGCACATCCGGGAAAACCTGATTATTTTAATACTCACCTCTCTCTCCAGCAGAAAAGTACACAATCAGAATTCTAAAGAATCCCTTCCTGTCTCTGTTTCTATAATCAGAAACTCATACAAATTAATTAATGCCAAGGTGGAGCTAACCCTCAGTTTTGTGTTTGAAAAAGTATAGAGCACTTTATTTTTATGTTGTATTGCTTCAACCTCTTCCTTCTCCCCATTGGTTTATTCTATAAATTGACTCTAATTTTATTTCTCTATTTTAAGGCATACAAAAATATGTATAATGTTACTGGTTGCAGTTTTGTATCATGGAAACTTTATTGATAATACCCATACCAATTTTCCAACATATGATCTTCCTAATTACAATTAATAAGTTAAGCATAGCAAAGGTTTTAATACATTCATTCTTAGAAATATATCACATACCACCACTAGCCTTTTAAAAATGTTTGATAATTATCAATATTTTTATTTTTTTTATTTTTTTTCAATTATAGTTTACATTCAGTATTATTGTGTATTAGTTGCATGTGTACAGTGTAGTGGTTGGACAACTACATACTTTACAAAGTATTCCCCCTGATATTTTCAGTACCCCCCGGGCACCATACGTAGTTCAAGAAAGCACAAAAATCACTGAGTTTCTATATTTCACCCTCAATTCATAATTTAAAAATTAACATGAATGTTATAGATTTGGTAATAGGTTGAAATAATGGTCCTAATCCCCAGAACCTATGAATGCTACCATATATGGAAAAAGTGACTTTCAAGGATTTTGAGATGGAGAGATTATCCTGGATTATCCAGGTGAGCCCTAAATATAACCACAGTGCTCTTATAAGAGAAAGCAAGAGGGAGATTTGATTAGAGGGGTGAAGGTGACATGACAGAGCAGAAGGATTTGAGGAGGCTGTGCTGCTGGCTTCGATGATGGAGGAATGGGCCATGAGCCAACGAATGCAAGGAATGCAACCCTAGAAGTTGGAAAAGGCAAGGAAGCAGATTCTTTCCAGAACCTTTAGAAGGAGAAGAGCCCTGCTGACACTTTGACTTTGTCTGAGTGAAAGTATGTGAGGATTTCTGACCTCCAGAACTGTAAGAGAAATCATGTGTTGCTTTAAGCTACTAAATCGGTGGTTGTTATAACAGTCATCGGAACCTAATACAGATTCCCAGAGCCTCTTCGTTCCTCTCCTCGTTTCTGTAGTAGGCTTAGTCCCATACCAAACTTGAATTCTAGTTCTGGTACCAGAAGAAAGCACCTATCTAGAAGGTGGTTAGTTGGCACAGAATCCAGCTTTTTCATTATTATTGCTACTGACATAAGCCCAGTGGTGCTGCTGAGTACTTACACATAAAGAAAAGGCCGTGAAGTGCAAAGAAAGAGATTCTTAGGTGCCACTGGCCAACTTCTCCAGTGCTCTCTCAAGTTTTGAATTTCACCTTATAGTTAATGCCACACAGTTTCAAGTTCCCTTCTTGGAGTGACACCTATATTTAAGTTCAGACTCTGCCACTTATTAGCTATGTGAATGTATGTGATCTGAAGAGAAACCAGAGCTTTAGTTTTATTTTTTTAAGGAAAAAATTCATAATAAAGGATTTTGTGTGGATGGAATGATATTGTGATAATGTAGCCACCATATTTTGTAGGGCTATCACATAGTAAATGCTTAATAAATTAACCATCATCATCAACATGACCATGATCATTATCACTATTATTATTATTACTATACAAATTTTAGCTTTGTTTCCCCAACCACGCTTTAATAATCAGTTGCTTGAGTACACAAGCATTACACTATTCGAGTATACTGATTATAATAGTTTTGGAAAACAATTTTTTTCTACTTTATAGTGCTTAGGATTTTCCACACACAAAAAGTTATTGTGGCACCTTTGTAAGTAAAGACCAGAACTTTTTAAACTAAAATATTAGGATTTGCTATGGGACACAGCAAAAGCAGTCTTGATAGGGAAGTTCATAGCACTGCAGGTCTAACTCAAAAAAATAAGAAAAAATAAATAAACTATTTAACCCTAAAACTTAATGAATTATAAAGAGAACAACAAGAAAAATCCCAGAGTTAAGTAGAAGGAAGGAAATAATAAAGGAGCAGAAATAAATGACATAAAGACTAAAAAAAATACAAAAAAATCAATGAAACCAAGGGCTGGTTCTTTGAGAGGATAAACAAGATTGATGAACCTTTAACCAGACTCATGAAGAAACAAAAAGAGAGGGCCCAAATAAATAAAATCAGAAATGAAAGCAGAGAAGTAACCACTGACACCACAGAAATACAAAGGATTGTAAGAAAATACCATGAACAACTATATTACAACAAGCTGAACAATGTGGATGAAATGGACAAATTCCTAGAAAACTACAATCTCCCAAAACTGAATCAGGAAGAATTAGAAAACCTGAATACGCAAATAACAACAGATTAAATAGAAGCAGTAACCAAACAACTCCCAGCAAACAAAAGCCCGGATCCAGATGGCTTTACAGGGGAGTTTTACCAAACATTCAGAGAAGAACAAACACCTATACTCCTCAAACTATTCCAAAAAATCCAAAAGGAAGGAACACTTCCAAGCTCTTTTTTTATGAGGCCAGCATTATCCTAATTCCAAAACCATATAAAGACATGACAAAGAAAAAGAATTACAGGCCAACATCCTTGATGAATAGAGATACTAAAACCTTCAACAAAATATTAGCAAATTGTTGGGTAGTGCCGTCGAGGCCATCAAAGCCACCTGTTGTGATAGTGAATTTGCCCAAACTTTAACCGCAGCAATCCCTCAAGAGTCCCTGACCCGTGGGGTGTACAGTGAAGAGACCCTTAGAGCCCATTTCTATGCTATCCAAAAGCTGGCCCGGAGGGTAGCAATGATTGATGAAACCAGAAATAGCTTATACCAATACTTCCTCTCCTACTTGCAGTCCCTGCTCCTATTCCCGCCTCAGCAACTGAAGCCACCCGAGGAGCTCTCCCCTGAGGATATAAACACATTTAAGTTACTGTCATATGCCTCCTATTGCATTGAGCATGGTGACCTGGAGCTGGCGGTGAAGTCTGTCAACCAACTGAAAGGGGAGTCCAGACGAGTGGCACAGGACTGGCTGGAGGAAGCCCGGATGACTCCAGAAACTAAACAGATAGTGGACATCCTGACAGCATACGCCAGCGCTGTAGGAATAGGAACCACTCGAGTGCAGCAGGAGTAAGGCCTAGAAGTTTTGTCAGAGGAAGTCAACAGTAATACATGAAGGGTTAGCAATGGGGTCCTAGAATTGTCTAGAAAGGGGCAGGTTACAAATGCTGTCCTAAATGTTAACACCTGTGGCATTTATATTATTTCCACTTGCTATCATGTCACTGAACTCCAGGAGTACTTTCTTTGCAACTTGTGCAACATTTTCTGTTTTTCAGGTTTTACTGATCAGACTGTGAGCCAATCAAAATGATGTTTGTGATCCCTATTATTATTGATTTTGTCCCTGGAGCAAACTGAATAAAACAGAAAAAACAATATATTAGCAAATTGCACCCAGCCATGTATTAAAAAGATCATACAACATGACCAAGGCTTTGTGCATACACATTATGTGGGAACTCCTGCATGAATCTTCTTCCTTGCTAGGCCATAAACAACTTGAGAACAGGGATTTTGTTTCATGTTTCTTTACATCTCCAGTTCTGAGCAAAGTATTAAGAACAAAGTATGTCCTCAATAAAAACATGTTGAATGAATGAATACATAACCACAACATAAAATTCAATTAGTAAATGTCAAATACTTAGTTTAACAAATCAAATATCCTGATTATTTACATGTAAATAATTAAATCATTAACACTAAAGAAGTCTTGATACATTGTATTAGCTTCCAAGCTTACCTGCACATCTTAACTGTAGTACATCAGATGGCACATTCAATGCGTATGAAAAATGGTCCCTGAGGTTTTTAAAACTGCTGTCAATTTTAAAAGGTATTATCACTTCCTGGCACACAGGAAGAAGTACAGCTTTTACTGTAGATTAAAAAAAAAAAAAAAGGAAAGAATGAATCATGGTCAAAACAAGGGTCAGCAACCTACAGTCGATAATCAGATGGAAAATCATGGAACAGTTTTTACATAGAATGCAGGTGCTTCTGCCATATTCCCCCACCACCTGCACCTCCATAATAAGAGTTACTTTTCATTTCCTATGAGAAGTTGCAAGCTTTTGCTTTGATAATCAATGTAGAATCTCAAAAATTAACATTGATGATGAATACCTGTTCCCCAATGCCAGCTCAAAGTTCAGATCTCTCTTCTATTCCCTGGCATGAGGATCAGTGCACATTCGGTATTACCTCCTGGCTCAAAATATCAGGAGAAATATAAAATAAAACTAACTGCTTTGAAAAATTCCCACTATCTGCTATATATTACTCAGATTTAGACATAGAAAATTAAGCATTTTTGTGTAGTACTGGAAAGGGACCCTGAGGCTTAGAGGGTGTCCCAATACTTTAATTACATATTGATATCATACTTCACTAAATCAGTGCATATTTATGAAATTAAGAAAAAGTAATAAATTTTCAAAGAAATTTTTCTTTGACCTTGCAACTACAAAAGATATCACATACTAAATCCATTCTTCTTCTCATAATTTATGTCTATAGTTGACAAAATGGAAAACACAAAATCAGTTTTGCAAATATCAGAAATACCTACACACAAAAAAATCTGGAATAACTACACAAACCCACTTTTCACAAAAATGGACATTATGTGGTTCACTCCCCATTTTATAAAAAGGAAATCAAGATACTTTGAAAATTTTAAAAACTGTCATTATAAAATGATTGTCTATTCACAAATTATAGGAAGGAAATACAGTATTTAAAAACTATTGCAGGTAAACGTTTTCTTTTCACCTACAGATTTTAAATTTTAATGAAGAAGATGGAAAAGGTAATATGGAATAGAGTGCACACTGTAAGCCAAAAGTGCCTTGTATATTTCTTATGTCTGATATGACAGTTTTCATAAACTAAATGAGACATCTGCAATCCCAAGATGAAATTCAGCTAGGCATTGTTGATGCCAAGGTTCTTCAAACTTGTTGAAATTTATTTTCACAGTTCTCTGTCAACAAAGAGAACACTTCCACAGATGTTAAATTCTCAGAAGGCTATTTTAATTGTTTTATGGATTCAAAATTCGATGATAAATATATTTTAAATTTAGGAAGGGAGGTGTGTTGAGGAATTTGTGAGCCTCGCGGCCAAGACAACATTTTAAAAAATCACCACGAGTTTGTTATAAGCTACAATATGAGGGAATCACAGGAATATGAAAAAATGAATCTCAGTTAACACTGAATAATGAAATCTAAGGATAACACCTTCAGTTAGGTGTAATTGGGCTTGATTAATTTCTTTGTCTTCCTTTTCATTCTTAACTTATAAGCCTCACAAGGTTAAACTACTCCACTGAATTCAAAAGCTACATTTTACCAGCCAAACTAACCTGCTGTAATTGTTGTTAAGTGATGGCTCACGTTCTCACCCTGAGGATGAAAACTCTCTCAGAACTTACGGACAAAGCGGAGAAGCAGTAGTCAGTTAACCAGGCAAGTAGAAAGGTTCTCTGTACAATCACTTTCTTGCTGCCCCCTCTGCTTTGTTACCAACAATGCAGTAATAACTCCTACATGCCACCAACATTATATCTTTAAAATTAAACTGTAATGAAAGACAATGATTTTTCTGAAGCTAAAAATAAGGTAACACTATGCAGAAATTTGGACACCGGTAAAAGCAACATATGTGTGCACTGGCTATGAAACTGGGAAATCTGGGGTCAAGTTCCCATCCCACTGTTTGCTAGCCCCTTACAATTAATTCCAAATTGGCATGCAAAAGAATTACAATTATACCCAAGAATTTATCTGCCATTTCCTAAGATCCCTAGACATTTTAAAAACAGGATTAAAAAAACAGATAAACATCCATTTAAAATTAAAGATATTCATTTATTTAGGGAGAGTAGATACTGTAGAATAGAAAAGCTTCACATGCAGTTAAGAGATTCAAGTGGTTTAGCTGGAGACATTTGGTGTATAGGAAAGGGGAGAGTAAAATCAAATGTAAAACAAATCTTGAAGCAAAACAAGAAAAAGCAAGCCTTCTTCAAATGAGGATAAGAATTATCCCATCTTCCCTGGGTAATACCTGTTGCTGTAGGATCTACCACTGCTGTTTTCAGAGAGCCTCTTAGAGCCTCTATTTTATCCATCAATATCTGATAATCTTTGGAATACCGATTGGTTGTATCAGATTCGGTGAGATTGTAATCCGAAACTTGCTCAGATGTCGTAACTTCTTCATTGGATGCCAGGCTTGAAGAGCTCTGGTCACCCTGCTCCTTAGCTTGCGGTTCAAGGACATCGCCAGACAATTCTTGCTCAGATCCATTGTCTTCAGTTTGATCTGACTCTGGAGGCTCTTCTGAGATAACTGGAATCTTGATCGTCTCATAAGGATCATCACTTTCTTCTGTTGCAACAGGAGTATCCAGAAGATCCAATTCTTCTAACTCTTTAGACATTTTCCTGAACTGAGAAAATTAATGCATTTACTATACATAAAAACATATATACCAAATATCACATTCATTGCTGGTATACATTAATGTTCACAAAAATTGTAAATTTTTTATTGATTCATAAAGTATACAGTATAGGGTTATGTATGGAACAGCATATCGGGTAAATGGCCTCCACGGCTTGGCTGGCACATGTGCACTCTTTTGTTGAAATTTTCTATGACCGTTTTGCATAAATGTGGCTGAATTTCGATGAGGCTCATTTTCATCTTGATGGCTTGGTTAATCGACAAAATTGTCGCATTTGGGGTTCAGAAAATCCACGAGTGATTGTTGAGAAACAAATGCGTCCACAACGTGTCACTGTTTGGTGCAGATTTGGGGCGGGAGGCATCATCGGACCATTCTTCTTCAAAAATGCGGCTGCTCAGGCAATAACAGTTAATGGTGCTCGCTATCGCGACATGATAATCCAGTTTTTATGTATGCTATTCCATACATAACCTTATACTGTATACTTTATGAATCAATAAAAAATTTACAATTCTTAATTATAAACCTGTGTTTTCTATCAAAATTACTTCTTGCGTGAATTTTGGGACACCCTTAAATACAAACTACTATGGAATTTATGCTCTGGCATTACAATTGATCAGATGCTCCAAGGACCCTGCCAGCTCACACAGCAACTACATCCTGGATAGTACACACTGTTTGTAGTAGCTTTGCTCTTACAAGACTTAGCAGAGGTCTCCAATGACCTCTACCCCCTCCCAAAACCTATATCAACAATCAAATATTGATCCTGGAGCTGACTAGGGCCTGAGCTACCGCAACCAGCCTTGGAAAACAGTATGACGCCATCCAGGAGCTTGGGTCTGGGTGGACCAGGACAGCCCAGGGCCAAGCTGAAGAGGCAGGAGCTGGTGCAGGGTAGTGAGGAGCCAGTGAGCAGTGAGCCAACCTATAGAAGCTGGCAATCAGGAAGGAGGGATAGAGGAAGTGACCTTGAGGCTGATTTCTGTGGCAACCAGCAGAGGGAAGATTAAAATTTGGAACAGTAGTGAGATGGGAAAGCTGTGATTGGGGTTCCCACTTGAAGCACAAATCCTTATGGAGAAAAAAAATTAATCTTAGTGAAATTGTCTGGCTACTAGATGACAATTTTTTTTAAAAAATCAAATATGTGTCTATGGGCCTCTCATAGTGGACCCATGCCAGAGGAAGTTGCAGCCTCAAACCATTGCCCAGCCTCCTTATCCTTGGGCTGTGAGCACTGAAGGGGGCTGTACAGTAAAAAAAAACCAAAAAAACAAAAACAAAAACAAAAAAACAAATATGTGGAATAAAAATATATAGTTGTTGAATCCAGTGACTATAGCATTAGAGTTGAAGAGATAATTAGTAAATTGGAAGATAGAGATTTTACAGAATGATGCAAAGAGATAAGGATATGAAAAATATGAGAGTTTAAGAGACATAGAAAAGAGTAAAAGAAAGTCTAGTGTGTTTTTCTGCTAAGCATATATCTTGTTGTGAGCTAAGGATGGATTTGTATTGCTAAAATAAAAAAATAAAAAAATTATGCAGAGGAAACCAAGATGGCGGCATAGGTAAACACCGGAAATTGCTGTCTCCCACAACCACTTCAAAAAGACAAAACGGACATCATCCTGAACCACAGGAAGGCTGGCTGAGTCGAAATTCTACAACCAGAAGAAAAGAGAAAAGCACACTGAGACTCAGAGGAGGTTGGGAAGTAAAGTGCAGAGGTACGGAGGCGCACGTGGAAAGGGGCTGGCAACTGAGGATGCGGCTGTCTTTTTCAATCGGGAGGGAGACACAAGCTCCCGACATCTCTGAACTCCAGTTCAGGGAGAGTCTCTGGGGACCCAGACTCATATGGGGAGAAATAGTACTGTCTGGCATTGGTCAGAACTCGAGGGCGGCTTTCTCTCAGAGGTGCTTGTAGCCATTACTGGGACACTGAGACTCGGGGCCTCTTAGGGTAGGACTGAGGAGCAGCCATAGCTGCTTGCTCCGCCCTATTGATCCCCTGAGACCCCGCCCCACCCAAGCTGTGCACAGAGGCTTTTTCATATAAAAGGCCTGGCCCTTTGCAATCTGAAAATTACCTAACAAACTGCAGCTGGGCCAGAAAGACCCAGAACTTCCAAAAGAAGGCCTAAGGCCCCACAGCAGCTTGCATTGCTTCACAGCTGGGCCTCATCTGGGCACCTCCAAACCCCAAACAAAGAAGAGGAATCTGCAGATCTCTCCATAGCTCCTGCTGGGTAGCCTCAGGCAGAGGCTAAATTAGCACCTCCTTAGAGATCCAAGAGCCAGTGTACCTAGTGGTCAGAATGGGACCATCCAGATTACAATGCCTCAGATCCATAAGGGACACACTAAGGGGGCAGACTCAGTGAGCACCAAAGCCCTCACTGAAGCAAGTCTTGCCTCATAAGGGTGTCTTCAGCACAGAAGTTCTCCCACTGTAGACACAGCTGATTCTCACAGCCAATTGGCCTGGAGGTCAATTCCTGTAGTGATACCTACAACAATCAAGGCTTAACTACAACAAGACTGTGCACAAAGCCCACAAAGGGGTTCACCAAGAGTGTCCACCTCAGGTAATTGGGGAGGCTGAGCCACTGGGCCCTATAGGACACCTAGCACAGAAAGCCACTCTATCAACACAGGGAAGCATAAAAAATGCAGAGACAAAGAAACAAGTCACAAATGACAGAAATGGAGGAAAGCAAACTACTGGATATAGAGTTCAAAACCACACTTATAAGGTTTTTCCAGAATTTTCTAGAAACCGCTGATAAATTTAGTAAGACCCTCAAGAAATCTAGTGAGACCCTCGAGGTTATGAAAAAGGACCAACTAGAAATTAAGCATACACTGACTGAAATAAAGAATATTAAACAAAATTCCAACAGCAGACTAGAGAATCGCAAAAATCAAGTCAAAGATTTGAAATACGAAGAAGCAAAAAACACCCAACAGGAAAAGCAAAAAGAAAAAAGAATCCAAAAATATGAAGATAGTGTAAGGAGCTTCTGGGACAACTTTAAGCGTACCAACATCCGAATTATGGGGGTGCCAGAAGAAGAGAAAGAGCAAGATATTGAAAACCTATTTGAAGAAATAATGACAGAAAACTTTCCCTACCTGGTGAAAGGAATAGACTTACAAGACCAGGAAGCACAGAGAACCCTAAACAAAAGGAACCCAAAGAGGACCACACCAAGACACATCATCATTAAAATGCCAAGAGCAAAAGACAAAGAGAGAATCTTAAAAGCAGCAAGAGAAAGAAACTCAGTTACCTACAAGGGAGTACCCATAAGACTGTCAGCTGATTTCTCAACAGAAACTATGCAGACCAGAAGGGAGTGGCAAGAAATATTCAAAGTGATGAATGCCAAGAACCTACAACCAAGATTACTTTATCCAGCTAAGCTATCATTCAGAATTGAAGGTCAGATAAAAAGCTTCACTGATAAGAAAAAGCTAAAGGAGTTCATCACCACCAAACCAGTATTATATGAAATGCTGAAAGGTATCCTTTAAGAAGAGGAAGAAGAAGAAAAAGGTAAAGATACAAATTATGAACAACAAATACACATCTATCAACAAGTGAATCTAAAAATCAAGTGAATAAATAATCTGATGAACAGAATAAACTGGTGAATATAATAGAATCAGGGGCATAGAAAGGGAGTGGACTGACTACTCTGGGGGTAGGGGGAGGAGTGTGGAGGATGGGGAAAGAGACTGAACAAAAATCGTACACCTATGGATGAGGACAGCGGGGGAAGGGGGGAAGGGCAGAGGGTGGGGTGGGAAACGGGTGGAGGGGAGCTATGAGGGAGAAAAGAGGAAAAACTGTAATAATCTGAATAATAAAGATTTAATTTTTTAAAAAAATACGCAGAGACTGCATGTGGCTTGTGAAGCTCTTTTCAGAAAATTTGCCAGGTCCTCATCTAGCATATTTCAAAGTGGAGTTCCAGAAGAAAACAGAAAAATGGAAAAAAATGAAATATCCTAAAAAATAATGGCTGAGAATTTTTCAGAATGAATGAAATATATGGATCCACAGGTCCAAGAAGCATAGCATATACCTAATTCATAGCCATGTACATTGTAGTTAAATTACATCATAACAGCCGAAGCTGGTTTGGCTCAGTGGATGGAGCGTCAGCCTGTGGACTGAGAGGTCCCGGGTTCGATTCCGGTCAAGGGCATGTACCTGGGTTGCGGGCACATCCCCGGTGGGGGATGTGCAAGAGGCAGCTGATCGATGTTTCTCTCTCATCGATGTTTCTAACTCTATCTCTCTCCCTTCCTCTCTGTGAAAAATCAATAAAATATATTTTAAAAAAATTACATCATAACAAAGAGCAGGTCTGGAAAGCAAACAGTGATAAAGGACATATCATCTACTGTTTTGAATCATATTAATTTTCTGACATTAATAGAAAAGAAAGAAAATCACTGCAGATTGCTCATTTGAAAAATAGAAGCCAAGGCAACAATATACTAATTAAAATAAGATAGCTATCAACCTAGAATTGTGCACCCAACAAAATAATCTTTCAAGAAAGAAAATAGATACATTTACAAATAAATTAGCTTCAAGATATCTGCTCTAAAGGAACTCCTAAAGGATATACTTGAAGAAGGAGGAAATGAGTCCAGTGAAAGTCTGAAGTTCAAGAAGAATAGATGAGCAAATAAACATATATTGTCAACACAAAATAATAGTAAAAAAATGAAATATTATATAATAAAACATGTAATTGGAAAGATGAAAATAAACTGCTCGATTCCTTATACTGTTTAAAAATACCGTTTAAATTTCAAGTACAACAAATAAAATAACTAGTTTTAAAATTCTAAAACAAAAGGCGGGGGAAAGTGAAATGAGATAAAAACTGAACAAAACCTCAATTTTTTAAAAATTCCAGAAACTTCTTTAGGCTCTCACCCACTAAAACAAAACTTCCTTTTGGTTATTTTCTGCCATAACAGAGCTCAATGG